AGCTCATTAAATTCTAGCTTAATACAGTGCAAGTTTCAAGTGGGTAAAAATTCGCGTTGATTTTTAATAATTTATTTTGCGAATGCTGTTATTATTTTCTTCTTTGTATGGATAAACTGCCTGACACCGCCAGCAAAAAAATTATCAAAATTCAACGCGAATTCTTACCCACCTGAAACTTGCACTTTATTAAGCTAGAATTTAATGAGCTATGAGACTGGGTACTTAGAATTTTTCTTGAAATTCTTAATAAAAAGTTTGTTGTTGTAAATTCTTTTTGACTTTTTCTAATTTTTCTACAAAGTTTGAATTTTGGACTTTTATGCTTTTTATTAGATAATGAGCAGTATTTTTATAAAAAACAATAAACATTATACAAACAAAAGAAAAATATCCACAACTGGTCAAAATGTCGTGTCCCGATGCTTTCCTCATTACTATAAGTATATACACACATTTAGGGGATTCACAAGACGTGTTAACCGTCGTAAAATCTTAAGGTTAACATCTTTTTTAATTATAATGGTTTTAGGGGATTTCTAACTAAACCGAAATTCTTTTAAACTGATAAAGAATATATAATTAGCCAACCCCCAACCATTTTAACCGCTATTTTACATAAACAAGTGTTAAGCTTAAGATTTTACGACGGTTAACACGTCTTGTGAATCCCCTAATTGTATAATAGTCATGTTACAGTACTTTATACACACACACACACATTGATAAACTCGTCTGTTGTCTGCTTATGTACTGATTACATATATATATATATATATATTTAATATACATATATAAAAAATAACATATTTAACTGCAAATGTGGATTATACGTACATATCGACGGCTGGGTGGAAGATCGTCTTATATCGGCAGCCGATTCGAAAACGCCTTATCTCAGAAAATTACTCGCGAACGCCTTACTTCAGAATTTGCTTGAAGAAGGCCCTAGCTCAGAATTGGCCGATATATTGAATTCACATGGAGATAGGGCATTCCTCAACCAAATTCGGAGATAGGGCGTTTTTCAATCAAATTCTAAAATAGGGCATTCTTGAAAAATTTGCTGAAGTAGGACGTTTTTGAACCGGCTGCCGAGATCGGTCGATCTTCCACTCAACCGTAGATATGTATTTACATAAGTATAGTATGTAAACTTGATCGTCATATTACATAAGCTTTTATAAGATTATTATTATTCACAAAGATTTGTTTAAGAAATGAAATTTTTATGTTGAAGTTTTGGCTTTACTTTTTTAAGTTTGTAGTTAAATGTTTTTGTTCATTTTATTAAATGTGGACTTATGTATATTTAACATAAATGTAAACTGATAGACCTTTTATTTGAAAAATTACATTGGAAAGGGTTGGTATCTTTTGAATGTGCATATGCTCATAGAACTCCATTTAGCTATTTTTTCTTTTGGTTGATGGTTTTATAATCTGAAAAGTGTAAGTATTACGTATAGCATAGGAATGTGTAAGTATTTCATAATCAGTCAATCACCTAGCAAAATAGTTTTGTATTAGTCGGTTTCTTGCAACAGAGTTAGAATTTATCTCCACTGAATTATTTTCTGCGGCATCTTCTGGAATCTCCAGCAGACTCAGTTCATCCATAGGAGGAAGTGGGTCTTTTGAAAGTACTGCAATGTTATGCAGAACACCACATGCCACTATAACAGCCATTGTGGAGTTTATTGATATTCGCAGTCCTATCGACAATACTGGAAAACGTCTTTTCCATACGCCAAAGCATCTCTCAATTGAATTTCGCGTGCGGATTTGTGACTCATTGTAAAGTCTTTCCGGTGCATTTGATGGGTTCATTAATGGAGTCATCAGGTAATGAGTTTGCTTGTAGCCACTATCGCCAAGGATGAAATAATTACTAAAATGTCCTTCTTCCATACAAAACTTAAGACGGCTATTGCGGAAAATGTTGTAATCGTGTGCGGAACCAGGCCACCTTACCACCAAATCTAGGAACATCAAATTTGCATTGCACATTGCCTGGACATTGATCGAAAAGTATCCTTTTCTATTTCGAAAAATTTCTGCATTGCCACCACCGGGTGATTGTACTCGAACATGTGTGCAATCAATAACTCCGATGACTTTGGGGAATTTAGCTATTTGGAAAAATTCTGCCACCGTCTGAGTAGGATCGCTTGGAAGTTGAATGAAGTCCTTGTATAAAGCAGCCAGAGCAAACGACACTTCTTTAACTGCTCGGCTTGCTGTAGATACGCTTACCCCACAAAAATCTCCAACGGTTATTAGGAAACTTCCGCTGGCATAGAATCTGAGCGCTAGCATTAGTTTTGTGCGTGGTGATATAGAACAGTACCTTGAAAAAGTAATTGCAATAGTTTAAGATAATTTTGTGCATTGGTATTGTGTGTTAACTAACTTTCTTGTACTGGGTTTCAAATTGTTAAAAATTGTATTCAAAACTAACCGAAAGGTAGGTTTTGATAATCGAAACCTCTTGATGAACTCATTGTCATCATACCTCTCTAAATAATCTGGCCGATATCGATACTGCCTATGAGATGCAGTTTTTTGCTCGGAATCTTCAAAAATTTCTTCTAATCGATTAATATATAAAACACGTTGTGTCGACATGGTAAATTTGATATTTCCATTTTTCGTTTATACTGAAAATTTAATAACAGCTGATCAACTTATGTAAACAAATCAAAAATTTTAGTTGGCAATGCTTAATTTAAAGCTGGGTACAAATTTTTAAAGGCTACGTCAAGTGAGCAACAATTTATCGATCCGAGAAATTAATGCGCGGATGAGAAAACGAAAATGCGTTTATCGAGGCGATAAAGTGGCCATTAATCTAAAGGCTAGATTAGAAAACGGCCCTAAGTTAAACAAATTACTAAAAGAGGTGATTTAATCGTTCATGGGTTTGAGAAGAGAGAAATTAAATTTAATTTAATTCTTCAGATAATTGAATTATATATCAAAGTATCAGACGAAAGAGCTTTAAAAGATTTCAGTTTGAAAATGCTTTGCAGAAGGTTGCCACCTGTTTGAAAAGCTTAATTTATTTAGCTTTTATACAATTTTAATGAAATATTAAAATATGAGTGGAAAAAGAATGAGTTTTAATAAAACCTTAGTTTAAAAATATTTTTTGTTATGGTTGCCATCTATTCGATTTTTAGTTTGAGCGATAAAGTTCGGTAATTGTGTTAACAGCTGTCTCGATGAAGTCAATTGGCCCCCTCGGAGCCGCGATTAGACTGTTTGTGCCATGCCGTGAAGGACCGATTTAATGTTAAGTTTTTTAAAAAATTGTGTCTTTTAGTTTATATTTTTTTTGAAACATTAAACTTTTTCGAATTTTTTGAAATTTTTCTCGGCGTAATTTGCCGATTTTTTTTCCTTTTTAAGAACTCTTGAACTATTGGAAAGCTACTCAGAGCTGCTTTCTTTTGTGTTTTTGTGTCGTACAGTATGCCATTCGTCGCCCGTCTCCCACAAGAGCATACGATTACCCGGAATATCTTTCCGAGTTCATATATGTAAGTATATTTAAGGAAGCTTTAGTGGTGAACATTTCCATCGCGTTTACCGACCTTTATCCATACTCCAATTCAAATATATTTAATATGCCGTGAAATAAAGAATAGAAACTATTAATTGTACTCTAGTGTCCTGTATAAGATGTATATTTTTATAAACGCAAATAAAACTGCTAAGATATATGCAAAGTCTAGCCCGGTGACTTGTTAAATTGTGTAAAATAATAAACAGAACATGTGTCCATAAAATTTTTTTTCAAATATCTGAGCTCCATTTTCACAATATCAGATATAGTCCACATTTTTTTTTTAGTAGAGTAGATGTTATAAATACCACTAGAATTATAATCCATTATGGAAAATTGACACAAAATTACACACTTTCACAATGAGAGGCTCTTCAAAAAATATAGGAAATCAACTAATGTATTTTTAAGTTTCAGTAAGGTTATACATTGACTTCAATGGAATTGACTAAAATGTAAGTAATCAAGTAACGGTAAAATAAAATATGGGAAAATTTAAATTTTGGTCTAATCCAAGTCTCAATGTCGTTAACTTCGATTTCGCTCCCAGCATTCACTTTTGCTTCATAGTGATTTTCTATAGTCTTGCTACATTGTCTTCTGTAACTTACAATTGCAACATTGCTGGTGGTCTCAAGGCAGCACTAATTGCAGCGAATAATTGCCTTTTTTTGTTGTAGATTTCAAGCGATGCCATCTTATAGCTGCTGCAAGAAAACCTAGAAATGTGCAAACACGCACGTTTAGGTTAAATGCATTCTTCTATCTTTCCTGCTGCCAAAAGCATTGCAATTTCATTTATTGCCATGTCCTATGCCTTCGCTTTCATTTCCACGTACTGTTCGGCAACTTTAGTTTAAATTTGTTTTTAATGTTTTCTTTCAGCAGCAGCTATCAACAGCGATGCAACCTACAAAGCTGTTTTCACATCCGTCTATTGAATTCTGTTTTTTTTGGTCTTCAACGTCCGCATGAGTTAAAGCGCAGTTAGTTAACGACGTAGAGTAAACGTAGGTTGACGTACTTAGCAGCATATCAAATTTACTGTTGATAGAGAGAAAAAGAAGCAACGGCAACGTCAACGCCATGCGGTGGTGAGTTTGCGTTAACTCGTGAATCCCATAAGGTAGATCGAGTCTGCGTCAACCTACGTCTACGTTACGTCGTTGACTGTTTGAGCTTTTAAAGCTCACGCATGGCGGTGACGTTGCTGTTGCTTCTCTCTCTCTCTCTATCAACAGTAAATTTGATATGCTGCTACATACGTCAACCTACGTTTACGCTACGTCGTGGAATAACTGCGCTTTTAGTTCCCCTAATGTTTCTGCAGATAATTGGCACCCTCTAAACACATTTGCAAAAACGGCACATGTTTACTTAAATAAATAATAAGAATATGAAAATGTAATTTGTGTAGAACAATTCCTACTTCTTTGAGAAGTTATTTGCCCTATAATTTCCTAATATTCGTTCTAGTACAAGTGAGGATGAGAACTTGTATCAGTATGAAATCAAAAATGGGTGGGAGGGTGTTTTTTTAAAACTACCGTTTAGGATTACTAGATTAAGAACATTATTCAGTACGCTGAATCGAATGATATGGGCGAATATAAGGTACTGAAAAGTGCAAGTTCCATAGTAACAAGATATTGGACTATACTCTGCACGCTGGATTAATTGGATGTAGATTAATTAGGGTGGCCCAAAAATGCATGAGGAAAGGTAAAGTCGGAATTTCTGTGCTGCCAGGTTTGCTCTATATGGAAAAATATGCCCCTATATTTTATTTTGGAATAATGAATTATTTAGAGGTTGTTCAAAGCGCTCAAAGTTCTCCATGTGTTTGATATAGGGATCCAAGTACATACTCGATACTTTTCTCAATTTACCAAGCATTTTTGTACTCGATACTTTTTACTGCGATCCAAGTAGGTATCGAAGAAAAAGTACTTGTATCGGAAGCGCAAAACTTTTTATGCTGCAGCATCTTCTTTGAAAAGCAACTCATTAGAGGAATGGGAAGATTTCCGCAGCTATATAAGCAAGTCCGTCAATACATAACGTTTGTGGGCTCATCAGTTCCTCACGAGAGGCTTTTCTCACAAACAGGTACAACTATATCAAAATCTCGAAACCTCCTTTCAGGAAAACACTTGGAAAAGTTGATGTGTTTGGGGAAATATAACAAAACTGGAGCTCTTTTCTTAAATTTATTCTATATGAAACCACTTTTTCTATTAATCTTGTAAAAATGTGTTCTATTGCTTTTAAAATCAAATACTTTGCATACAAAAATAATTGTTGTCTTAAATTTTTGTATGTGAAAATATTAAAAGATAAATAATCTTGTAAAAAACATATTTTTTGTTAAAAAAACCATAACTTTTACAAATATTTATGGTAAATCCTAGTTCTATGTACAAGTTCTCGATACCTTTCCGATACTGATACCTTGTTTCATACAAGTTCAAGTACTGATTTGAGTATTTAATAACTACCTTGATAGTATCGATTTATCCCAAATTTTATATGGGAAAAAACCAACTTTTCGTAGAAATGGTTTGCAATTGTTAAAAATCAATATTTTTCTATCGAAAACTCTGCTTCTCTGTAAGATATTCTCTGTAATAATACTCACTTGTTTATTTAACTATTTTTTCATAGTAAATATAATTTATAGGTCCGCCAAAAACCCCAAAAAATGCAATAGAGGCATCAATAACAAATCGTTAGTATTGAAAAATGGTTAAACCAAAAATGGAGTGTTATTATTGCAAGTCTCCTGAAGAGAACCAGAGCTTTCCGATCGAAAAATATTGATTTTTAAGAATTCCATACCATTTCTACGAAACGTTTTTTTTTTCATATAAAATATATCGATGGCTGAGTGGAAGATCGACCTATTTCGGCAGCCAGTTCGAAAACGCTCTATATCAAAAAACTTTTCAATAACGCCCTATTTCAGAATTTAATTGAAAAACACCCTATTTTAAAATTCGGTTAAAAAAGCCCTATCTCACTTCAAAATGTATTGAAAATATGCTGATATAGGGCGTTTTTGAATCGGCAGCTGAAATAGGGTGTTTTTGAAACGTTTTCTGAAATAAGGCGTTCTTGAAAAGTTTTTTGAGATAGAGCGTTTTCGAACTGGCTGCCGAGATAGGTCGATCTTCCACTCAGCCATCGATATAGAAAACTTTGAGCGCTTTCAGCGACCTCTATGTATTTTTTGACTTCCAAATAAAAAAATACCCCCTGTTATATTTTTTTTACATAGAACGTTCCTAGAGGGTGAGTGCATTAAAATTTCGAGTTTACTTTTTTGGACCACCCTAACGGGTATACGAATTTTATTTTTGTGCGCAGAAGAAGACAAAAGGTGATTGATCGACCTGAACCTATGCAGTAATGGTGAATCAGATCAGAGAATGGACTGACTGGAAAAAAATGTGTATTGAATTATAGGTTCATTGAATTCCTAATTTATTAAGAATTTGGGTTGCTCCTTGAAACAAGAATACCAACTCAATTGAACAGTTGAACCCTATGGTAACGAAAACATCAATCTGTTGTTGGACAGAAACGATGCACTACTGCGAAGCCTGCCGAGGCTGCCACATGAATAATATCGTATTCCATAAATAATGGGAATGCTTGCTCTTTGGAAAAAATTTATTTTTATTTATTTTTTGAATTTTTAAAAATAAACAACAATATGTGTCACCCTTTATATTGTGAACTTTTCTAATTACGGCGGTGGGAAGTTTTCACTTTAAAAAGCAAAATAATTATGAGTCTTCTGTACATTAACATAGGTATGAATGTATTTGTAAATGCAACTATATCTTAATTCAGACTTATACCTATGTATTTAGTCGAAAATCTTGCGCATTCAACTCTACCTCCCTTCTGTTTCTTCTGCCTCTTGTTTGGCCTTACAACCATTACTCTGTCGTTGAAAAGCTCGTGTAATTCATCAGACCATCTTACGTAGAATGATTATTTCGAAAGCGACCAAAGGGTTCGAATCTTTTTTCAACATTGTCGGCGCTTCTGCGCC